GAACACTTCCATGTTAACAAGATATACATCTTTAAATCCATTTTTAGGGTAAAATAAGCTATACACATATTTTGACTCACTGGTTCTTGATTTGAATAGCTTGAAGTATAGTATTGTATGATGACTAAAATATACAATAACTTTGAAGTGTGATTTAGAAATTACAACCAAATTGAAGAGTATAATTTGATGCCTATGAATGAAAAACATAGTCTATTAAATCTTTTCTTGCCACCTGACAAAGAAGATCCTATGTCTATCTTTTAAAACTCAAAATTTAAAGAAATACTTATGTGTACTCCTTTATTATATCAACCTCTGGTTTCGTCTTGTTTTACCTCAAATAGTTATAGCTAGTTTTTACATTTAGTTTTTAATGTAACTTAGTTATAAAGTTAACCTTGAGAAACTGTAGGAAGAATGATTGCTGGCAGAAGGCAAGGTTTATTTGGTGTGTGTGTATGTATATATATTATTCTTTGAAACATAGGATGTTACTAGAAAGTACTGACACTAGTTCTTTTCAGTATCTGATGTGATAAAGAGTTTACAATTATTTTAAACAAAATGAGGGCCGGCCCTGTGGCTTAGCAGTTAAGTACTCGTGCTCTGCTACTGGAGGCCCAAGTTCAGATCCTGGGCACGCACTGACGCACTGCTCGTCCGGCCATGCTGAGGCGGTGTCCCACATACAGCAACTAGAAGGATGCGCAACTATGACATACAACTATCTACTGGGGCTTTGGGGAAAAAAAGGAGGAGGATTGGCAATAGATGTTAGCTTAGGGCCAGTCTTCCTCAGCAAAAAAGAGGAGGATTAGCACAGATGTTAGCTCAGGGCTGATCTTCCTCACCAAAAAAAAAAAAAAAAAGATATAAACAAAATGAAGCAAGACCTTATCTAATAGTGGAATTTAATTTGAAACAAGCAAACAACAAAAAAAATAATTTGAAACAAAAGCATCTGGAAATGGGGAAGCGTATTCACTCCTTGAAAGTATACAAGACCTAACAAGCCTGCTATGTTAAAGACAAATCCAAAAATTATAGACTGCCATGGAAGAAGGTAGAAACCTAACAGTCCGTGAGTAGGTTGGCATGTGACCACAGCAAAAGTGTGAACAAAGCGGATTTTGCTACCAGTTTGGGCTGGACAAATACCATGATTCATTGTGAGTTTGCTGTTCTGGTCTAAATATTCTAAAAGGTTAAATTAGAAAAATAAGGTGCATTCCTTTCCTTCTATAACCAACCTCATTTTAATTTGGGGTCATTTTTATTTGCTAGATTGTTTTTCAGGAGAGCCATTTTATCCCTGAGCAATGCACTCGATTTTGCAGACTTGGCTTGGTCAGCCAGTCACCAAATCCCAGCTTCCTTCTAGATGAGCCCCTCAGTGTAGCCATAAGGAAGCAAGGCCAAAGAAACTATGTGCAATAAGAGGGACATTTGCTACATCTGACAATCCCCCTGACTATTGGGCAAGCACTTCTTAATGTCCCGGGCCCACGACATTTAGTGCTACCCCCATTCGGAGGATGGTACTCAACCTCCCCCACACACAGTCCCCAAGATTGTGTAAGGGTGTAGGTTCTGCCCTGACTCACAGGGTAGAGGTGATTTGTATCCTGTGAGTCACTGGCACCACTTCCTGCTGGCACATTTGAGATTCACAGAAACACGATCTCTGAAAGTTGAAGGTAGAGCGATGAATAGACGAGCTTCAGATTCCTAAAACTCATTTGGAAATTTGACAGAAATAATGGCCTCTACAGGGATCGTTCCCTGTAGAAAGAAATAGAAGTTCCAACTGCCAATTTTGAGTTTACGGAACATTTACCCCATATCACCTTGCACAGAATTCCTCTTATCTTACTTACCAATGTAAAGCTTGCCGCCAGATCTGTGTTCTGACCTACTGACACTGTCCAGAATCTTTAGTGTCATAGTGAATTATTTTCTTAGCATGCACCCGTGGTCAAGGATCAAAAAATTAGTAAAATATTTGCAATTGAATCATAGAGAGATTGTTATTTCAAATAACACTCAAGTCGTGAAAAACTGAAATATTAGGGAAATACATGGATATGACTCTAGCATCTATTCCTTTCCTATATGACTTTAAAATAATGAGTAGTGATTCTTAAAGGTGACAGGATGGTAGATATCAGAATCTTCCATGATGAACTTTTTCAATCTTTTGATCACCCTCACCTAGCCCTCTACCCTAGTTTGCAAGGGCCTGGAGTAGAGGTCAGGTTGAGGGAAGCTTGAGAACCACTGTTTTAGAGCAATGGAGCTGTGCAGATGGAAACATAATTTAGAACCAATTTTGCTATTCTATTGGCTACATACATCCATGATGGAACTGTAGTCTAAACACTTTCATTTGAGAGAACTGTTTAAAATGATTTACCATTTTATCTGTAAAATACCCGGACGTTGGATTAATGTAGCCAGTCTCACAGAAACCATCCTGAGCAATGGACTATGTCCAAGGGAGCGTCACAGGTTAGGGGAGCCCAGTTTTTACGGAGGCACGCCCTGGGCTGAACATTCTTTAACTCACAAAGACAAATATTTCACCTGTGGCCTGACCAACTGGAACAAAGTTTCCAACAGTGGAAAGACTAACAATTACTAAAAACCTTAAAAAAAAAAAAGAAAGAAAGAAACCTAAGAAGCAACACCCCAAAACAATTAGCTGCATTCTTTAATAGTCACAGGTTGCAGTTGTAAGCAATTCCAAACAGGAAAGGCTAGTCTCTGATTTCTACAAAGGATAGAAAAGTGAGCTCCAAATGTGCATTTGCACAATGGACCTGGCTGGCCCTGTTGTGGTGGGAGTAATGTCTCCCCCAAAGCTTTCCTCAGTTGAAGAAGCATGAAGGAATAGGAATGTTAAGGATATAAAAACACACATTTGGAACTCCAGTTTGTGTCGAGCAGACTGTATAAATTAAAGGGTTTAATTCTTTAGTAGTAGAGGTGCCTGGCAAAATTATATTGAGAGTACAACAAAATTGACATGAGTGAGAATCTGGCTCATCCTCCATAAAAAGCAATGGGGACAAAATCAACTTTTTAAAATCTCTGTTCAACCAAAAATGAAATCCAAACTTTAAACACTTTTTGTCATCTAAAAAAGATGATTTATCTTCCTATAAGAGCACTTGAAGCAGCATTTATGTTGCAGGAGAAATACAGAGTGGGGAGGAGATAGTTCTAAACTTTTCAAAAAGTATTTTCAAATCGTTGAAAGATTATGAGACTTGATGTCAAAAGACAGATGCCTAACTCTTATCTTCTATGATCACTAGATAATTGGTCTTGGACAAGACATTTAATTTAACTGAGGTTGTTTGGGGCTAATAATGCTAATAACTATTTCACAGGATTGTTGTAAGTGTCAAGTTTGAAACAAAATTACAAACAATGATGCTGATGTGTAATTTATTTTTTAGTACCTAAAGGGTAGACAATTTACTCAACAGATTCAAGCCTCCTCTGATCGAAAAAAATAAAATAAACTCCTTTATTATGTGGACTAAATTATCCTTTCAAATATCAAATTGCAAAGAGATTTATAATCTTGTTTTACCAGTAGAGGGCACTACCCACATAGACTGCTAAAACTAGAGGCTCCACGTTGAGGATCAAGGAACATTGATGAGAGTCTCTGGTATGCTAGGCATTTCAGAAAAATATCATTTCATCTAATTCTCCCCCAAACTCTATGAGGTAGGGAAAATAAATCACATAGCTCAAGTTTTCTCCCAAGATTGCCTTTCTGCCATAATTTGTGGCCTCCCTATGTGGTTAAATACTGTGCCTCAATTACATTTACCCTAGTTTGTTCCCTGTGATGTACACTATACTCTAGTATTATTGCCCATTTCCAGATTCTATAATGTGGCCCATGCCAACATTGCTATGTACCCTTGGGAAAGTTACTTAAACTCTTTATGTCTCAGTTTTGTCATATGTCTAGTGGGAATAACGATAGTATCTTCCTCAAAGAGTCCCTGAGAGGATTAAATGAGATAATATAGACAAGGAGGATAGAATATGTCTGCATATACTACATGTTCAAGAAATGTTAACTGCTGCCAACTACGGCTAATACCGCCACCATTGACATTATGTAAGTTACTCATGGAGACTGGAAGGAGTGGTTGAAGTGCAAATAGCTGACTCCTAACAGAAGAGGCTAAACTCTCTTTAGTAAACACCCATGCAATTAAAAGGATTCTTCTTAGGCTTTCTATGGAATTCAGAAACTACTTGAGTCATTCTGGTGCCTGTTTTCCAACATTCATCTTTCCAGTGGAGACACACGATGAAACGCCATGTTCAGACTCTTATTGGCCTGACAGAAACTGGATTCGAGGGTTCAGTGTGGTTCATGTAGCATAGGTGTTCTGTCCTATATTAGATAAGAGATATTCTGACTTGACTTAGATTACATTTTATTAATTACAATCTATTTTCATTCCTAATACAATGCAAGGAGCAACTTAGGCACTTAAATCAACAACAAATGTACCTTAGGTTGAGAGTCCTGTTTAGTTGTTACTATAAATAGAACCTGATTTTTATTTGAAGCCCTCTTTTGTGATAGATTCTACCTTGGAGCATTGCTTTGAATACATCATGGAGGAAAATGGTAGAAATTCTCTAGTGTTCCAGTTGCTAAACTCCTTAGGAAATCAAACTTCAAAATCAGATCTTTGAAAAGGTGACCATGAAATGTTTAGAGCAGGTCAAATCTACAACTATGAATGTAATGCCAAGACTTTTACCCTTGGATAGAAGAGCTGGGGGTTCATTTATTTTCAATTATACACTTGTTTCAATGAATTATTTCCTTTATGGTTTTGATGGGTCAAATTCTTAAAATAATTAAGACAACTCCATAAATACTGCAGTTATGTGGAAATCTGATTAAAGTTTCTTTCCTTGAAGTATAAATTATATATTTGATTTTCCTCCATAAATAGGTTTCCATCTTCTACAAGCAGTTCTCAGTACAACTGTGATTCCTTCCTGTATCCCAGAAGAATCTGAAGATAACTGCACAGCTTTAGGTAATCCCAACTTTGTCAATGTTACATCAGAGGATTATACACTTTTAACAGAAATGTAAACTCAAAGACTCTAAATATGTGACGGTGGAAAAGAGGGGGTAGCTATTGTAGTAACAAAAGGATTTTTTAACCCCCTTATGAACTAGCAATCTGGGAAAATTATATAAAGGAATAACTAGTGGGAGAGGGACTGGGCATCTGGTTATATAGAGAGATTTGATCTTAAAGAGATAGGGAAGAAAGAAAATCAGATTCCCTTTGGCCGTTCCCCAGAGCTATGCTGTGAAACCATTGTTAGAGGTTGGATCCCAGGCAAAACAGGAAAATTTAAACTTTGTACACAGTAGATAGCCAGTCCTGGTAGTCAAGATCCAGCTTCTCACCACTGCACACCCGGTTCATTTCCCAGTCAGGGAACCACACCACCTGTCTGTCAGTTGTCATACTGTGACAGCTGTATTTGCTGCGATGCTGAAAGCTATGCCACCGGTATTTCAAATACCAGCAGGGTCACCCGTGGTGGACAAGTTTTAGCCTAGCTTCCAGACTAAGACAGACTAGGAAGAAGGACCCGGCCACCCACGTCCGAAAAAATCGGCCATGAAAACCCTATGAATGGCAGTGGAGGATCGTCTGATATAGCGCCCGAAGGCCAGAGGATGGTGCAAAAAGACCAGGCAGGGTTCCACTCTGCTGTACACAGGGTTGCTAGGAGTCAGAATCAACTCATTGGCACTGACAACAACAACACAGTAGATAATCAATGTATTTAGTGTTGTTATTTTTTATAAAACGAACAAATGATGTCCTTTCTTTCTAGTCACAGCATTCATTCAGAAAACATTTATGCAGTACTTAATTCATGTCAAACACTGTGCTGAAGCATAGGGATACAAAAATGAAGTGATGCACAATCTTTTTCCTTCAAGGACCCTAGAGGACTCTGGGTGTGGTTCAAGAGAGATCTGCTGTGTATTCAGTCTGAGCTAATGAGTCAAGTGTTATCCTGAGGAACCAGGGTCTTCTCCACAATAATTTCACCTTCTCACTTGTCCTGCTATGTCACTGGGCTCTCTGGAAGTTTGGTCTGCCCCCCTCCCTTTTTTTATTGGTTATTTGAGCAACAGTATTACAATCAAGATGCTATTTTTTGACTATTTCATAAGCATTCCTTCACATTTTAGTAATTAAAACATTCTGAAGTGAATTTTACATGTAGGTGGCAACACTATTTCTAGCGAGGCTCCTATTTTTAGTGTTGTATTTGCTTACCTGAGGCATTTGTAACTCAGGATTTGTTCAGGTCTCATTGTTAGAGACGTTAGGAGACTTTGATTGATTTCTTTGATGGTAACCTCAAAAATGTGGGACTGCACACTAAAATAAGACTTACTAGCTTAAAACTCATTATAGAATTCTGCTCTCTTGAATCAATTTATGGATTCAGCTTGCAATTGCTTTTGGAGTAATGAACTTCAGAATTTTGCTCAAAATTTCAGAAATTTTGAGATTTGAAAAAATTAGACAAACTTTGCTTGGATCAGGGAATAACTGAGGAGGATAATGATTTTTGTGTGTCTTAAACTTTATTTTTCTATCCTTAAAAGTCGTCTTTTGAGGATTAAATCCCCAGATTTTATTTTGTTTTGTTTGTCTGTTGGACATTTGCCTTCGGGGTCAGTTATTTGTTTATTGGTCTAGGAGGTGTGATAACTAGAGTGACCTCCTGCTCTTGACAATTCTCCTCCACTGACTGGCGCCTGACGTGCTTTGGTACAGTAGCAGGTCTGTAACATAACAGTTTGGTTACTGTTATGAAAGGGTGATTAATGCTTCAAAGAAGGCAGCAGAGGGGCTGGCCCCCTAGCATAGTGGTTAAAGTTTGGCACACTGCTTTGGCGGCCCAGCTTTGTGGGTTCAGTTCCAGGGCACAGACTTATACCACTCATCAGCTATGCTGTGGCGGCAACCCACATACAAAGTAGAGGAAGATTGGCACAGATGTTAGTTCAGGGCTTATCTTCCTTAAGCAAAAAAAGAGGAAGATTGGCACAGATGTTAGCTCAGGGTGAATCTTCCTTAGCGAAAAAAAAAGAAGGCAGCAGAATATATTCAACTTTCCATTTCCTTCACAGTTCAGACAGAAAACAGTCCACGTGTGGCTCAAGTGTCAATAACAAAGTGCAGCTCTGACATGAATGGCTACTGTTTGCACGGACAGTGCATCTTCCTGGTGGACATGAATGAAAATTATTGCAGGTAATATCCCCAAAACAAAAAACCAAAAACAGGATTTTTTAAACCCATATATCTCTTTCTATTTTTTAGTTTTTGAGTTACTCTATATTTCCGTGGGCTGCAGTCTATATGTTCTATTAGAAACTTTATTAAGTGAATTTTTTTAAAGTTAGGGAACAAATAGCAGTTGTCAAATTGTGCAGATACTTCAGGGGTGCAGAGTGGAGATGGCTTCAGAAGCCTCCCTCTCCAGCTTGCCATAATAGCAGCTCAACTTTTATTCTTTTCAATGACTTATATACCAGCTATTATCTTAAGAATTGATTACATGAATTTAGACAAAAAGCACCTTAAACCTACAAAACTTACAAAACACTATTCTAGATTGTCAGCCACCCTGGCAGCTGAACCAGACTGTCATTTTAACACCACAATTTAGCTTGAGAGCCATGTGGAACTCTTTGATCAATATTGGCCCAGCTTTAAGGTCAGTCTTTAAATTCATCTTTACAACATTTGGCAAGCCTTGTTGATTTCTTCCATTATAGTGTGAGACTAGTTCTTACAGAACTGATTCATAATTATGATTTCTTTTTTGAATAATTGATCTTTCTCTTGCATTTTCCTTTAGGTGTGAAGTGGGTTACACTGGTGTCCGATGTGAGCACTTCTTTTTAACTGTCCAGCAACCCTTGAGCAAAGAATATGTGGCTCTGACCGTGATTCTTGTTATCTTGTTTGTTGTCATCGTCGCTGGTTCCCTATACTATTTCTGCAGATGGTAAGCCAGTGTTTTTTAATATAAATTACTTTTATACCATACAGACTTACAAATATGGACAACGTATTATTTAGAGGGATAAGATGGACTCAGCACTGATGATATTTATAAAGAAGTTTTAGCAGCAGAACATCTAGATTTGACTCTACTTTTAGCTGTTACTTGTTACCTGTGTGACTTCATGCAAGTCAAACTTGGAGAATCAGTTCCTTCCCTTATAAAATACAGTTAGAAATTCTTATTGTGCACTAATTACGGGACTGTTTTCAGTACTGCATATGATAATACGTGTGAAAGTAAACCATGAGCCATGATGCCAATTTTATACTTAGCCACTGGTATTTAATTCATTAGGTCAAATTTTGTATTTCATAAAACACAGCCTTGTAAATTAGTAAGCCCAGAGGCTTAGGATCTTAAAATTCAAGGAAGACTGGTAGAAATGAGTTTCTAGACAATTATAAAAACTCATTTAAAAAAAATAATTCATGTCAGTCCCCCAAAACAGTCACACTCCGTTCTCATGTACTATACTATACTGACGTATGCTGGTACCTGAGAAAAAGTAGAGTGGACCTTGAAACGACTGACGGAATATCAGACTGGCAGTTTTTTAGGGTTAGGACCAGGCATGGGAACAGTGTGAATTAGTTAATAACAGCTGCCTTTAAAATGTCTCCAAGAAATCCTTCTTATTTTGGAGCTGGTACAAATTGTTCAGTGTATATTTGAGTGAATTTTATTATTATTATTATTATTATTATTATTTTAAATTTTATTTATTTATTTTTTCCCCCAAAGCCCCAGTAGATAGTTGTATGTCATAGCTGCACATCCTTCTAGTTGCTGTATGTGGGACGCGGCCTCAGCATGGCCAGAGAAGCAGTGCGTCGGTGCGCGCCCGGGATCCGAACCCGGGCCGCCAGCAGCGGAGCGCGCGCACTTAACCGCTAAGCCACGAGGCCAGCCCATAGTATTATTATTATTTATTTCTGCTGAAAGTAGTGCACTTCTACTTTTGAAGGTCTGAAAGTGTGCTTTTTTAAGATTAAATTTGTTTTTCTCATGTTTGATTCTAAGTATTTGTCAAATAATAATGCCTTGGTAATTAGTTATGATCACTGAATATTATTAAAACTGAAATACACCTGAAAGTTCTTTGACTACAATCCTTTCCTTTATAAAGATGGGGAAAATGATACCTAGAGAGGCAGGCTGACATGCTCCAGCTCGTGTAGTTGACAAGTGGCAGAACGGAGTCTAACCAAAGACTTTCTGGGGCAGACCCGGTGGCATAATGGTTAAGTTTGTGGGCTCCGCTTCAGTGTCCCTGGGTTCGTGGGTTTGGATCCCATGCCTGGACGTACACATAGCTCATCAAGCCATGCTGTGGCAGCATCCCACATATACAAAATAGAGGAAGATTAGCACAGATGTTAGCTCAGGGACAATCTGCCTCACCAAAAAACAACAAAAAAAGTCTTTCTAATTGTATTCTTCCACTAAGCATAGACGTTATGCAGCATCCTCGAGGCTACAGGCCTCATCTCTGAAATGGGGAGGAAATGAACTCAAAATGTTGGGAAGATAGTTTGAACGAATGAAGATTCTGAATCATGATAGATTTGTGACCCTTGATGGGAGAACTTGGCCAGATTCTATAACCGATTTGTACTTCACTTTCTTCATCTGTAAAATCAAGATGATAATGGATAAGCATGGGGATAAAATAAATAATGAATATATTGCACTTAGAATGTTGTCAGTCACCTAATTAGTGCCCAATAAATATTAATTATTTTTATTTATATTGGTGATAGCGTTATATCAACGTGATGGGTAGAATGTAATAATGTAGTGTGATATTCAAAATACTAGTGAAAGAAAGAAAGGAAGGGAGGGAGGGAGGGAGGAAGGAAGGAAGGAAGAAAGAGAAAGAAAGAAAGAAAGGAAAGAAGATTGAGAGAGAGAGGGAGAGAGAGAGAGAGAAGAAAAGGGAAGAGAAGAAAGAGAGAGAGAGAGAGAGAAACAGTCAAGGCTTTAATTGTAGTCACATGCTCTCCTGGAATTTTGCAATTTCTATGATCATGTTAAAGCCTCTGAGAACTTCTTTAACTGTTTCACCATCTCCTCCCCAAACTGTTTGACCACAGAACACTACCCCTTCCTCCCTGCTTTTTCTCTCTTGTCCAACCTAAACTTTTGTCATTTCGGAAACACTATGCTGCTGTATCTTTTGAGTCCATAGCTTTGTTCCTTTTGTTAAAATACTTGTTCTTTACTGTTAACTCTGATGCTGACAGTTTCCTTTCTGAATATTTCTAGGTACAGATATCAAAAGAGGAAAGAACCAAAGAAGGAATATGAAAGGGTGACCTCAGGGGATCCAGTGTTGCCACAAGTCTGAATGGTGCCATTGAGCTCGTGGACAGGGATGCACAGCATGCCTCTTATGTTAATATTCCTATTTTATTAATAATATTTATGTTGGGTAATGTGTTAAGACAACATGGTGTGCTTTTAATATACTTGGAAAATTTTTATTTTTGTTTTATTTTTGACAGACTATTTGTTAATGTATAATGTACACAAAATATTTAATATAGAAAGAAAACCGATATTTTTGTAAGAAATCATTTCCTGGGCTAAATGCTTGAGTGAAAGCTTCAAAGCTTGTTTGTTTGCTGCACAACGCCTAAGAGTGAGCAATGCCTGTTTCGTTGGTCAGGAGGTGTCAGCGAATGACAGACTTCTGTAAGCCTAAAGATATGGTCAAATCGATTTAATAAGTATATTTTTCTACTCCTCAAATCAATGATAATTGGTTTGACTATATCATAGTTTGATATATGAGTCAACACCACTGTATCATGTATTAAAACAGTAATGCTAATGGGAATTGGGGAGAAGCAAATATAGATCATGTGCTAAACACTACATGTTTGAAACAAACTAAACCCAGGAGGGCTATACTCCGTCCACCCCCTTCCTCAGCTATAGCTAGATGTTTATCTGTCTGGCGGGAAGGTGGCGGGAAAGTGGCCAATTCCCTATTCCAAACCACAATTCCTGCAGACACTGATCACTCATCTCATAGATTCTCCTTAAGTGAAATGAATTAAGAACTTATTTTATACCATCTTTTATGTAAATAGCAAGTATTTTATATCCCCACAAGGTTCCTTTTTTTTAAAGTACATTTATGTGCAGTAACTGTTGCTCGTAAGACAATAAAAAAAATCCACAATTGAAGCCAAAATTTGTGCTTCTTTTTAAGATTATTTATATTCATAAGGACTTTGCAGAAGAATTCTAAAGTTAAATCAGTCCAAAATTTGATGGACTAATCATTATTTTAAAGTCTAATATAAGACAGTCCTTCTATATATTGTCTAAAGATGGAAATCCAGTTATTTAATTTTCTATACAAGAGAATTTCAACTTAAAACAATGCAGTAAGGAGCTTCTTCTACAATTTAAAATTATATATTAAAAATTATATCCCAATGCAGGAAGTGGGAAAAATTAATTGTAGTGCATTTTTCCAAATGAACAAATTCATTTGAAAGCTTTTAAAATTTAGAGACTTAACGTCACCTTCCTATGGAGACTGAGGTGATACCAGGGTCCTGTTTTCTGTCTTTTGTTTATGTTTTGGAAGAAACTAAGGTTGCTCCTGTGCTTGGAGCCCATGGTCTCAATGAGTTAATAAGGGTACTGGGGGCAACCACATAAGGAGCCACAGCTGTCACCACCACCAGATCTCCTGGGAGACTGCCTCATTGAATGCTAGACCTTTGGGTCAAGTCTCTCAGGGTCACACACCTGGTCTCTTCTTCTTCCACCTTTTTTCCTGGCATGTACTAGGGCAACAAAGAGAACAGAAGAGATGGCTCATCTCTAAAGGGCCAGGTACCAGGACTTGCCTCCTATATATGTGTCCCTGCATTACATACCCTGGTGCATTCATGTGACTCTTATCCAAAGTCCTCGATCTGGTCTCCTACTATTAGGGGAAAAAACGAACATGTATATATGTATGTATATATATGTGCCGATTCATATGCACACACACTTGTACACATGAGCTCAATCAGAATTACAGTCATCTGTTGCTCCACCAACAATATATAAAACTAAAAAATAAAGAGAAATAAAATAAAATTCAGTGAGATCCAAAAGGATATTTCTGTTTCCCATTTAATATAGCTGAAGTCAAATGTGCTGTGTAAGAACACATTTTAAATCCTACACATCCTTATTGACACCTACTGTATGTAAAGGAAATCTGTCTATTTTAAGAGATTTTGATTGTTTCAAGGAAAATTTATTGACTAAGTACTAAATCAGCTGCAATCCATTTTTTTTATTTAAAAAAAGGGAGTCATATTGGTCTATCGTAAGCATCTCAATTCATATTATATAACTAATTGTAAGTAGTTTGTAGTGTTTTTAATCTTTATTTAAGAATGCTTAAAAAATGAACCACTGTAAAAGTTAAATCTTTATTTATAAATGCATATTAAATAAAAAGGTATGATCCAAATAGCTTTTTTTTTGTGTGAGGAAGATTAGCCCTGAGCTGACATCTGCCAATCCTCCTTTTTTTTTTTTTTCTGCTGAGGAAGACTGGCCCTGAGCTAACATCCGTGCCTATCTTCCTCCACTTTATATGGGTCGCTGCCACAGCATGGCTTGCCAAGAGGTGCGTCGGTGCACGCCCGGGATCTGAACCGGTGAACCCGGGCCGCTGCAGCAGAGTGCGTGCACTTAACCACTTGCGCCACTGGCCCGGCCCCCCAAATAGCTTTTTATGGGTGAAAATAAGTAAAAAATAACTGTTTTAATAAGGATACCGCTGAAAAAATATAAAAAATGATTGCTGTCATCTCATGTTTCCGACAAACAATGGAACGACTTTGGCTCACATTTAGTCTATCTTCCTCATTTTACAGATTTCTCCCTATACATAGCTCTAGAAGAGGCTATTTATATCCAACAAATTGAGAACAAATGCAAATCCAATGCATAAATGCAGAATTTATGGCTTCCCACCCAGGCCATACAATAACTAGTTTGACACTCTCTATGATCAAGGACATAAAGTTCTATGGTTGGTACTAAAGGTTTAACCTCAAAATTGAGATTTATGTAATATATTAAACATGTATAATACAATAGAATTCAATGTTGTTCTCAACGTTTTTTGCTCTCATCTCCCTGCCAAAAGTCAAAGCAATGGAAGAAATGGTGCCCTGGTATGACTATGTCTTAACCCAGATTTTAATTTTGGAGTCCTTGAGAAGAGAGTTAGCTAAATTCAACTGCAGTCAGATAGCCAATCAATTTTTGTGCAGCAAAAGCATGATACTAGTTTCTAATTTCTGTTGATTCCAATAATGCACTTTTTAAAAATTCACTTTGTCATTTTTGCTGCGATATCTATTCTGTAGACTTTTGGGAAAAAAAATGTGTTTAATTTGCTGCCCAATGTTTTCTGGTTTTTTCCTACTCTTATTCATATGGGAGAAAGGGGGTAACAACTTGTATAAACAGTGTTCTGGAGTACACTTTAATGTTTTAACTAAAGAATAATTTTATCTAAATCATATCTGTTATTCAAATTGGATGATGTTAAATGTGAGATATATATTTTTCTCTTTGCTTTTTTTGCACTCTGTAATTGCACTTTTTTAAGTTTGAAGAGTCGTGTTGGTATACAGTTTATGTTAAAGATGCTATGGAACATAAAGTTGTATTGCATACAGTTTAAATAACTTATTTGACAGTGAATTTTATCAGAGTACTGAATTGTATCAATTTGTTTGTGTTCAGTATCAGCTTTGATAATTGTGTACCTTAAGATATTGAAGGAGAATATTGATACTTTACAAGATATTGTTAATGTTTATTTATTTTTGTTGGGAACTGGAAAAAAAAAACACAGTTGAAAAAAATGTGTTAAGCACCATGCATAAAAAACTTCACTGATAAACATAGTCTCTTTCTTTTTTTTCTTTTTCTTTTTTTCCATAATACATTAAAGGACTTAAAAGCAATGATAGGACGACAATGTGTTTAAATCTAAAGACATTTGATCTTAGTTTGGGAAAGCATTATATAAATTTATCACATTTTATGGCCTACCATAGTGAAGAATTTCTTTGAAATAAAAGAAGCCACATTAATTATGAAATTCTAGGTGTTAGTATATTTAAAAAGAGTATTTCTAAAAAGGATAGATATCCTACTGAGAAGTAACGTTTGAAAGGACACATCAGCCAGAAGCGTGTCTCATGATTCCCTCAGCATCTGCCAACCAAGATACTTGGCTTCCCTGGGCCTTCAGAACAGGAAGCATTGGTCCCTCTGAACCTCCATCACAATAATGGCTTCCTTGGTAGACACTTCAACAACCCGTAGAGTGCTTTACCCGTTTATTAGCTCCTTGGACCATTTCATTAGCCTATGGATAGGGCAGGGAGGCGTAGCTATGACCAATTTACAAGGAAGTAAAGTAATTTGTCCAGGGTCACAGGGACAGTAAAAGGTGAAGCTGGCATGAGAAACAAAGTCTTCTGATCCCCAATTCCATTGCCATTCCGGCCACGTCAGAGACAGCAGAACCATCATGCAGAGGTAACCTGAGATCTAGTTTAGAGTTTTCTTGGGAGAAATGGAAATTCTTGTAAAATGAAATCCTTGGGATCTCACAGAACCCTCAGATTGACTCTGTTCAAAGTCTGAGAACCCAGGGGGTTAAGGAGAAGAATTCTTTGAAGCACTTTTACCACTTGGCTTCCAGGATACCACACTCACCTGGTTTCCACCTGCTTTTCCGTCTCATGCTGGATCTTCCTGAATAGCTCCAATCCCCTACCACTGATCTGTAAATCCTAGAGTGCCCCCAGATCTCAGTCTTGGAATTGTTTTCTCTGTATAGCTACTCCATACTTTATTTCATAGTCTTGAGCTTTTAATTTCCATCTATATACTGATTACTCTCAGCCTAGATGTTTCTGCTAAGTTCCAAACTTCATCATCCGACTACCCATCTAACACCACTTCGATATCCACCAGACATTCAAAAGTGGCATGTTCAATAACAGATATTCCCCTGAAAAGTTGTTTCTGCAATGTTCCTATCTCAATTAAATTCAAGTCTGTACTTCTTTCTTGTATCTCAGGCCAAAAACCTGGTGTCCTCCTTTGGGAGGTGCTGAATGACTCACTTTCAAGTAATTTCACAGAAGACTACCCTAAACTTTTTATAACAATGGCAGAATTGGTCATTTTGAAGAGATTATGCAGAAGGAAAATAATTCCAGGAAACCAGAGTTAGACAGATTATCACAATTTTCAAAAGGAGGAAGTTATAGGCACTGGATTTCACTTTGATCAATTCTAGAAGATATTTTACCCCAAATGGTCACAAAACATTATAAAACACGAGTGCTTTTCATCAGGTTCCAACATGGATTCATTAAGAAGGAGACATAAAACGGAGACATAAAACATGGATATCTTTTAAATATCCTGTCTGGTCACCAGCTAACGGTAACTACCCATTATATGAAACCAAACACAAATATTCTATTCAGTTTATCTGAATGTCAGATAAATAGTTGGGAAAAGTCTTCCAAAAATTTCATATGAGCCCAAAGCACAATGCACCTGTTAAGAAAATAAGCACAGACGAGGCTTGTTTAACGCAGGTATTGTGAACGGATCCATTACA